CTTTTACCTAATTTACTTTTCGTTGTTTGGAATGTAAATTGCCTTATTTTATTACAAATAACAAATGTAAATTTATAACCAAAACTATAAATAATGTTTCAATGTTACTTAGTTTGTTACTATCATTTTACTGATTAAATTGGTCGGGTGAGCATGATAAGTAATTAGCTCTATTATATATTATCTTGGAAAGAATAGACTTCATTTCCATGTATTTTTTATATTCAATTAAATACATCTCTCCATAGCTTGGCTAATTTTAAAAATATTTTATAATTATCACAGACAAAAAGACATATAATTTAAAATGTAAAATGAAGAGTTAAATAATTTTTCATATATTTAAAAAGCTATTACAAAAAAAATGTATTCTTAATTACATCATAAACTGTGGTAATGGTTGTATAATTAAATAATTTCATCGAGAATAATCTAAGTATTTGATAGCCAAGCACATGAAAAAATAAATTCCTATACTTTACAAAATTTTAATTATTAATGTAAAACGTCTACTTCAATTTGAATGCAAAAACAAATGCAGTTACCGATCATTTTGGTTTCTTTCTATGGATTTTACTTGCAAATTATAAAATATTAAAGAGTATAATATAAAAGCTGACAGTGGTTAGTGGATCATAAAGTACCTGAAATACCATAAATACGTACCTCAAATAAGACTTATAAATAAGACAAATAAGAGGACACAATTTAGGATATATAATCCAGGAAAGTTGCAAGGCAATTATATGAATGCTGTGCAAAACTTAATACTCTGCTGTATTCGTACTTTCATGTAAACAATCCTATCCTAACTAATCGGTCCAGAGATTTAAGCAACTTCATTAAAGTCTGAGTTCAAAATACAGTTTGGTAACTGCTGAACTATCACGTATGTAAAAAAAGATGTGTAATTAAAAGAGCCCTATTGCTTTCTTTGTTTAGCATAAATACTTGTCAATATTTTGAGCCTAGTGAAACTAATACATAAACACGAAATATAAATAGTCAGCCCGAATAAGGAAATATCTAACAGGCCTGAATTGACATTTTATCAATATAATGTTAACCTATATGTAAACTATTGAACTGTTGGTATTTCAAAAATGCAATGTAGAATCTGAAGAATGCAAAGTATACATACATGTTTCAAATTAAAGTATTGCAAAAATAAAATTAATGTAATAATTTAAGTTATAAATAGTCAGCCCGAATAAGGAAATATTTAACAGGCTTGAATTGACATTTTATCAATATAATGTTAACGTATATGTAAACTATTGAACTGTTGGTATTTCAAAAATGCAATGTAGAATCTGAAGAATGCAAAGTATACATACGTGTTTCAAATTAAAGTATTGCAAAAATTAAATTAATGTAATAATTTAAATTAAGGAGTTAATTCCATAATTTGTGACGATGCTTGAAAGTTTTGGAAAATCTCATTGGGAGGTATTAAGTTAATAGCAAGATAAGATAAAAGTTTGTTAGTGCTTCCTTTCGAAAAGGAAATTAAGAGAGATTTGATATCCTAGGATTGAAAACAAAATGTGATGAGATTTCCTTTGTTTTTAAACCTTCGCTATAGTGTCATCTAAAAAAATGTGTTTTATTGTATTTATTGTCACTTTCAACAAATGTTAGTTTACCAAAGTTATAAGGTATCTCAGAAATAAATAATTTCTTTTGTTTCTTAAAATCTTTGAAATACTTGTGTACTGAAAATGGAATTAAAAGGGATTTTTTGAATAAATAACACATAAACATATCAGCATTTTGTTGCTGTCACAATGTAATTAGAATTCAAGTCATTTTTGATTTTCCTCCACGTCCCGTTATTGAAATAGTAAGCAAAAAAGACTACATTAAAATGCCCACGATCAGTTTTCGTGTATTTGCATATTTTTTATGTTTTATATTGTTTATTTACAGTCAGAACTGAAACGGTAATAGGCCTACTTCTAATATTGAAATTACTTTTTTGGGCTATTGTCATTTCCATGTAGCTCCATGTAGCTGTTTATAAATTTTATCAGTTTGAACCGTTTTACCACAGTAATTGTAATACTTATTGGTAAAACGTTAGTCGAACACGCCTAGTTTGACCAAAATGGAATATATAAATCGGTACAATATTAAGACTAATGTTAAAGGACCTGTGCAGATTTTTTTTTCAAAACGTCTTTTGAGGCACAACGTACACTACAATACCATTTCACGTAAAGATTACATTAGTATAAAACAGTTAATAAGTCAAATAAGATTACTAATCTGCTATTAGTTAAATTTGTTGAGTAGATCTACACTATGAAACGTAATTTACCTACCTCAAAGAGGTTACAATTAAACTTTACTTTTAGAATCATTTTCATAAAATGTGTTTCCTTTCTATTCTATCTTAGGTAAACATCCTAATGAAAGCAGTTAAATTACAATTCAAATAAACTGTAAAAAATCCAGTGGGTCAGCAACACTGAAGGTATTTGCATTATTCACTTTGCTTTGGAAACAATTAAGCCCTCTTAAAATGCTCAACTTGCGTGGATCCTATCGCATTTGTCTTGTTTGTTTACCGATCTGTATATTACATTTTTTTTACTGCGAGTTTAAGATAATTGATTTGACAAAGGATTTTGTAAAACTATTGAAACTTATATGCCATTAGACTCATTAAGTTGATGTAAAGACCTTTATACAATATAATAATAGTGTCTATGCAGCAAAAATTATGTAAATGGTAAGGCATTGTCGGATAAGGTAAAGGACGAGGTGACACACTTATTGACCCCTTGTACCACCTGCGAATTCGAGCAAATTGACTCTTTATAGAAAAAAATCTAAAATTTGTTCATTTTGAATTTTGCTACATTAGAATATAAGGGTTACTTATTAAATTATAAAAAAATCCTTTCATGTACACGTTTATCTACAGGTTTAAAAACTAGAATTTTAAAGTTTCGATGAATATATTATATTAAAAAATAATGTAGCAGAAAGTACTTAAAAAAATACATTTTCCATCACACATTTTGGATACTGACTGATAAAAATGTCATATTATGCGAAAGGCAACACGCATATAACAGAATTATTGAAAAGGGAAAGCTTAGACAAGCTTAACTTTGTGAAAAGTAATTTGTTTGAAGAAAAGTTGATGAAAATTCTGAGAATCTGAGACGAAAGATGATATTTTTTTTACTTCAACCGAAAAGATATATGGGCTGTAGACAGATGAGAAACATGTATCTTATTAACTTGAAATTAGCCTAACAGACTTGTCGGTATTGCTTTACAAAAATACTTCCCAACTTTGAAGCAATGATTGTAACTTGTTTTCTAAAAAGATCATTATGTAAATATGTGTTTAAATGAGCACATTTTAAGCCTGTCAAATGTCAAAGGTTATATCTGTGTAAAACCTTTTTTTTAAATTAAATTCAAACACATTTACAAAATGGTATTGGAAAATCTTTGAATATGTATTGCAATATTTGTCTTATAAATTTGATACTGTTAGAAGTCAATCGTGTTCTCTTCCTTTTAAGTAAAATGATACGCTTGTTGAACATCCATCTTTGATCATTTAGAACCTAAACAAATCAATACTCCAATATATTCAGCCTCAGTAAGCATGTATCAAATTTCACTATTAAAGTAATATGTAGAGCAAACGAACGTTGTTTAAATGGCATGATAACAAATTTTATGTTCTAATGCAAGAATAAAACACCTGTAATAAATGTTAATGCCATGGGTATGACTCATAGTCAGGTTAAAAGTTTTCTTGCTATTTTTTTTTATTTCTTTGACATAATACAAATTTAAGTTCTGAAGTAAAATGAAATAATATACTTTATTAGGATGGGCGTAGTAGTTATTATAGTAGTTAATAACATACTATGTTTTAGAGTTGATAGGCCAATATATTACAGAAATGACAAATTTATCCTTAAACTTGTAATAGTATTAGTAGTTTTTTGAAATGAGTCTACGGAGTTGAAACCAGCTGCAACATGAAACCACGAATTGGTAAGTATTATACAGTAATCCGGAGGCTAACATACATCACCAATCATTAATATTGCTACTGGTATACAGGGTGGCTGAAAAGTAAATTCCCCCATCCTTAACTTTTAAACCATTCGAAATATTTGAAATCGGTTTTCGGCAACCTTCTTAGACATGCTACAATAATTATGGTTGATTTAAAATATTTGCCCTTAGGTTTTTTTTTTTAGGGTAGCTCAAAATTTTCAATTAATAAGTATAGTCGAGTTTGGTATAATTTTACAGGTCTTGACAAAGCTAAACAATTGGCATAAATAGAACCAAATCGGACCAATAATAACAAAATGGCACCCTAAAAATTAATTGTTTAGTTTTGTCAAGACCTGTAAAGTGATTCCAAACTCGACCATACTTCCTATTATAAAGTTTTGAGTACATTCCACCCCGACTACCCCTAAGGGCAAAATTTTCAAAATTAACCATCATAATATTGTAGTCCCTTTTATCTAAACAGGTTGCCGCAAACAGGTTTCAAAAATCTTAAATAGTAAATTTTCAGCCACCCTCATGGTTATTTGGATTTGAAACGTTTTTGAGTGCCATTTGTTATTAGTAGTCCGATTTTAGTTTTCTTTACGTCAATTGTTTAGTTTTGCCTGTGAAATGATACCAAACTCGACTATACTTGCAATTTGAAAATTTTTGAGCTACTCCTTATTCCCGCAGCTACCCCAAAGGGCAAAATATTTAAAATGAATCATAATTATTGTAGCCCCTCATTTCTAAGGAGGTTGCCTTAAACCAATTTCAAATATCTCAAAAGGTTTACAATTTAAGGAGGGGGGCAAGTTACTTTTCAGCCACCCTATATAATGGATATAAATCAGACTTGAAAGGTCTACAAATAAACAAAATGCTTCCAAATGTTAGAAAATCATCTGCACTATTAATTATTTATATAATTAAGGAAAGAGGGGATGAAGAAAATGTTAAAATAAATGTACATGTTTATTTTATTTTCTCTAGTACAAAGAGACTGATGTATACAAGAGTATCTCATGGCGTCGCACTCCCGGAAACTGGGGCTCAGACCGGAAACGGGAGGGCGAGAACATGATGACGTCATTGAGCAATGTTGCCAACCCCGCAACACTGGGAACCAGTGCAGCCACCTTGTCGACACTAAATATACAAGTCACGAAGATACGTATACAAGTGAAACGAAAAAGGTTTAGAGAAACAAAGCAAAATGGATTTTAAATACAAAATAAGTCTATGGTGTAAAGGCATTTTATAAAAATAACTTATCTTTGGATAGGTTTAAGCGTTTTACGATACTCGTTTATTTAAAATAGATCCTATTTTCATATTATACCTAGTCTTAATATTACAGTTGATACGTTTTGCCAACTTAACACAATTGCTAAAGTTGTTATTACAATATCTAAAACAAAATAATAGTTTTTAACTAAACTTATCGTTTTTACAAAATTTATTTCATCAATTAGATTTGCATTAGAATCTTTTTGTTTATTCGAAAACAACTAACAAATAGGAAATTACAGCCTATACATTGGATAACAATAACAACATAACACTTAACATTTAGGTTAACACAAAGAGGTGTTTGCCCAAAAACACTGAACAATCATGAGCATATTGACACCGGTATAGCAAAAGATCAAATTTGTTAAAACATACCCAATATCGCATGGATAGGTACAACTATGATGATGTAAGTAATGTCAATAAAACTACAGAGGAGTTAAAATACAAAATTAGCAAGTCTTATATACAAGGGAGTGAATACGGCGATGTTTTCATAGACCTGCAACAAATACAAGTTGTAAATATTAATAGTTGGTATAGTCAAGTCTTTTTTTGTCTGTACAACACATGGTGCTTTCAGTTTTAAACATGTGTAAAATGAATAGATCAGCAGTGTAAATAAATTTCTTAGGCTAACATATATAAAAAAATATTTGACAAAACTAACAGATTTGAAGCAACTTATCAAATCATTGTTCCGCATTTGTTATACAATCTAAGTTCATACAGCATCTCAGTAATAATATTTTAATTCTTTCTTATAATTTAAGACACAATTAAAGAAGTTGTTTTGGGAAAATTTCTTAGATGAAAAAGAATTTACTGCAAAAAGCTTCCAGTCAGGTATAATGAAAACCCAACCCATGAATTCAAACATTGCGTTGAATCTGCTAGTGTATATGTTACAGGCAAAGTGTATAATCGGGCATTCTAAAGAATGAATAAGCATTCTATAAAATACCTAAAATGAACCGGGAAAAGTATGAAATTGCACTTATTATATAATTTGTCATTCTATAGAATGCCTGTTGTCACTAAATTAACCATACACACAATATTTCGGTATTTTACAGTATATTTCCATACAGGATATTTTGTATACATTTATATACAGGATTTAACATACCTGTATATTAATGTATATCAATAGATTTGCAAATGATGGTCTACAGTATTTGTTTCAAATTATCAGCGACAGCAGCGCTTCCAGTGGCCTGGTACAGAATATCGATGATCGATGTATTCTGTATATTAAGACTATATACATCGATGGTGCGTACAATAGTTGATTTAAATGCAGCGTTTTCTTGGGCTCATGGAGAGTTCTGAGTTCCAAACACGGCATCTTACGATTTTACTCCAATCTTCATAAAGCATTTAATTCCACCCATTTAAACTTCATTATCTTAATTCTGTTCTTTGTCATCAAGATACAAGAACAAAGCCTTTAAAATATCAGAAAGCTCACCAGTAGGGGTCTAGTTAGGAGACAAGTGCATCTGAATACCTGGGTCCATCATTTCTTTAAAGAATAGTTTGATCTTCTTTTGGACCTTGACTGCCTTTATGCCTGGTCACAACAATTTTATCTACTTCTTACAATAATGTTACACCGCCATTTCAATACCAAGTAAACGCAAGTGACATTGACTGATCTAGAGACTCTTCAGCTACTCACCGATCCAGCGGTTCATAATATATCGTTGGATCTAGTAGTCTTGGTCAAAGCCGACTTCTCCTGGTCGGGTCGGCCATTGATGTGGCCGGGAAGGTGGGAGCGGTCAGGGCCACAGTATATAACCTTGCGGAACGCCTTCCGGAAGTTCTCTGATAGAAAAGCATACAAGATGGGGTTGACGCATGAGTTCATGTAGGCCAGAACGTGACTGACGATCTGAATCATCACAGAGGTGTTCGTTATCTCGTACCTGTCTACGCTCTTCAACACCAGAATCACCTGAGAACAGTTAAAACAAACTGTTAACTGTATGAGTATGAGTCAATATTGTTGAGATGGTCTCAATTGATTTATATCATATTAGATATTAAATACAGGCCGAAAGTACTGCTGCAGTTAGCATAAGTTCTGGCGTCCACCGCTGGGAGTGCCGTGTAGTTAAGTAGCGTGTGTGCCTTAACTACATGGTGCTTTAGCGATGGACGCCAGAACCAATGCTAACTTGCTAACAGTCTTGAGTTAAAATTGCATCATCAAAGATAATGCAAAGAGATGGGGTGTTTATTAAAAGTTCTAGACGCTTTTTCGGAACAGAATCGTCTGATACAGAATAAATTTGAGTAAGGTAAAAGTTATAGATATGTATAATGGTTAAAGGTTGATAAGTTAGGGGCAGTTTAGTAGAACATATGTTTAGGCGAGGGTTGAAAACGGTTTTATTCTGTTTTCATTTAATTGTAACCAAAGTAGGAACCATTACCGGTCTGTGTAGCTCCAAGGACGTTGCAAAAAGCTCCCCTGAGACCAGTCTGGTTCAATTTAGTACTCGTATGACATTTATTTATATACTGCCAAATAAAAATAATTAGTTTCATTAATGGGTAACTAGCCGAGGGACTAAACATGAGGACTTAACTTCGTAACATTAAATAGTTGCTGCACTTCTGAACAGTATTAAATCGGAATTTCTCTTTGACCCAAGTAGATGATAGGAAGGTGTTTGACAGAGTCATTCAATGGTTTTGTTACATTATTTACGCTTGATAAACAAACAATCCAGTTGGTATTTTAGTTGAAAAATTGCATGCACTTTTAGTTGGAATTTTTACAGTAACATAATAATATAAACGAGTAATGTCCAGTGGTCGAAACTCGACCAAAAATATGTAGTGTACTCACTTATGTTAATGTTTCACCCCACACTGTAAATTAAACATGTGATTGGAGTTTCTTCCATTTGTTTTGATTTTCTGTTTATATTTCGTTGTTATTTCGTCACCAGCATGGCAACGCATAAGATCCATGTAATTTTTTCCAAATTCTTTAACTCATTTTTTGCGCTTATCTTTGAGCCTATTTAAATTTAAAAAGGGATTCTGCACACCTACAGGAAAATAGCCTTCTAACGGTATGCGTAGATTTTCCCTACGATGCACACGAGCTGAGAAAAAAGGTTTTAAAGAAACATGCTTACCTATTAATATATAGATTCACAGCAATCTGTAGCATTGTTCAATAGTATTTTGACATCCAATGAATACAAACATTACATTTGGAAGGAATTGAGTGGTTTGAATAATTCAGTTTAATGAAATTATGCCCTGATGGTATGCAACTTGATCACGACACAAATATATCAGTTTGAAATGGATATGGTTGCTGATAGAGCAGTTAAATGGTCATTCGTCTAGTACAAGTTGTTGGTACTAAGATTACCGTGTCAATCAATCGAAAAATCATCAAAATATTGAAGCTAAGCAAATGAATAAAAGCATTTTTTATATTTTATGGGTTGCAATATATTTTGAAAATAAATTAGATAACTTTGCCATTTCTATATTATCTTTATACGAAAACAAGTAATAATCATAATTAAGTAATTTCAATGAAAACATTAATTTGGATTCACATTGAAAAATATAAATGCGTGCTACATTCACTTAACGTGGGTTTTATAAGCTATAAAGCTATTAAATCTACTTTTTCAGTATGAAGATGAAGACAATAATCTAATACAAAGATACGGTTCGTTAAAACCGTATATATTAACCATTTAATAAACTTACATACTGTAATCAACCACTATATTCAGTCTTTACTTTTGAACCCTTTTACATTCTAATCGAATAGTTAACATTTCTGAGTAGGATATCACTAAAGATTTGTTTCAGTAATATTGTTGTATATTGACAGTGCCTTGTGTGTTTGTCTTTCTTACGGAAGTGAATCTGCAAATAACATATTCATTTTTAAATGTAATATTTTTTACAAAGGTAACTAAAGGAAGAGGGTTTGTTCAAAGGATTCAAACCTTGACAATAAATTAAAACCTTCACAAAATAAAGGGACCGTGAAATGCGGGTCCTATATTAAAGTTGGGATGAATATCGCACGGCTTCCTGCCTTTGACATAAGCAACTGTAGGGGAAGTTATTCATCATACGTGAGTTTCTTTATGTATTTGTTATTAATTTATAAGCTCAGTTATTAAGGAACCAAATCTATTGTATGATCTATACCTGAGAATAATTATAGAAATATGCAACATTGAAATAGAAATAATTATTATTTATGAGCTAATAAAAAATAAGATATTTGATATCTACATCATCCGAAATATACTAAACAAATAAATACAACACGAAAATGTAAGTACATGCAGAGAAGGAGCTACTAAAGCTGTTTAAGTTATTTACATGTCATTCCTATCCATAAGCCCCAAACAACAAATTATTTAAAAACAGAAAAAAAAAATATACTATCAAATAAAAATATGTTGCTAAATAATAGTGTGTAACGCATGGTACGATTTTGTTAGTTTATTAAACTGTTTATAATCAAAGTAAAATAAATTTATTGACCACAATACTATCTCATTTCATGTCGAACCCTTAAGTCACCGGAACACAAATCTATAGAGTTAGTTATAGTTATGTAGAGTTTAATCTTTGGCATTGGTCCAAATAATTGTTTGGATTTTATCTATTTCATGCCGTGATGTTGAATAAATAAAAAATGTGGATAATTGGTTATATAAATAGGTAGGAGAGTCAAGAGAATTTGGGAGAATACCTTAGTTATATTATAAACAAAAATGTATATTTAGAAAGAAGTAGCCAATAGGTAGAATAACTCAATTGAACACCGAATAATTGAACACTTCAAGTATGTTACACCTCAGTTTCTTCATCTAGAATTAAACCACAATTTGCACTTGCAAAATTCTTCAACCAATGATTATTTAACATTTAACTGTATTACCATAATCATTGTGTCTCATTCAAAAGCTTTTGACACAACAAATCTAACTTCATGTTTCTCTCCGCTAACCTGTATTGGGCACCAGCAGATAGCGAAGATGGCGACCACCACCACAACCATTCTCGTCACCCTCTTCTTGCCTCTACGACTCTCAGCTGAACAATGACCCCCGGGGGCTACGCCCCGCCAGAGACGCATCAGCATGCAGAGGTAGAGGCCGCAGATCAGGGCCAGCGGGATGACGTAAGAGGTGGCGAAGAAGGTGACCTATCAAAGAGAGGCAAGATTATAGAAGAAAATTTACTTTGATACAAAATAGGGGAAATTGTTCATCGGCATAATAGTAAATATCATATAAGTATCGTGAAAATGTTTAAGAAACACTTATAAAATTTTTTCTTGATTCTCATCAGTTAGGTCTTGAGTATGTACCAAATACTCAAGTAAGGTTTGGTGTGCGGTAGAGTGCAACTATTAAGTTGTATGGGTCTTCGTAAAGTGCTAAACCTTCAAAATTAATTTGTTTTGAAAATAATATAAGAATGTAAAATAGTTAGACCAGAGGATAATATGTTAACGTAAACAAAAAAGATGCTAAATGCTGTAAAGGTAGACAATATTCTTGGTTCATCTCCTTTAACCAAAGTAATCAATGTGAGTATTAATAAAACGTGTCACATAATTTATATTAATACAAATATGTATACTGCATTTCAGATAGGCTACGAACAAAATGCATGTTACAACATGGTTCATTTTTGTCAGTCACGTTTAAAAGACTTATACCTTTTAGGTCTAAAGGTTTTCAATGAGTTTTCGAGTAAAATCTCTTAAGTAAATGATGATCAAAAAATTATTAAAATAGTTCCATTATTTTTTATATTGCACGATATAACTTGGTCACTAAATAAGTTTAAATAGTTTATCATCACTGTTCATTTTTTGATCATGTAAATAAACATCCAGAATGGGAAAGATTTATAGGGTTCAAGTTTTTTGATAGTAAAATACAATAGGCCTAAGTTTCTATACTTATTTACGTCTCAAAAATGTGCTTTCGTATCACGTAGCCGTAGGCAACGTCATAAAAGAAAATGGACAAGGGGAAATGGGGAATTGGGCCATGCTTCTTCTATAATACTTGAGGAAACTTACGTTTTGACGATGATAAAATAAGGTTTTGTGAATTTCGCAAAGAATAGTACGAATAATATGTTCCAACCTAAATAGAGATATGTAATAAATAGTTGGTTGAATTTCGTACGGTTATGAATTATGTGTGACAATTACGAACAGATTCCATAAATATAGCTTAAATGGAACTTTATTACTCAATGAACAGACACTATCAAGATATTTTTCAAAAGAAACTATAACTAAAGAGATTTATGAAATTTCAAAGTGAGCGGAACAGCGCAGAGGAATGGAATTTGCTATTAATCGCCTTTATTAAGGGAATAAAGCAGAAACCCAGGTTCAACTAATTAGATTTTCTTCTTTGACTTTATATTTTCAGGACTTATTGAATTAAAAGGGATTGATAAAAAAGGTTGAGAGTTATTAAAACGAAAAGTTTCTTGTACAAAGAATTTGTGAGCAGTTAATTGATTATCGCTTGATTATTTTAGGAAACTTAAATATTAGGTTACTTTTTTTAAATTAATACTCAAAATTTGAAAATAATATGTTTATCAAATTTTCGTTGCTCTGAAACCTATAAAGAAATCAATAAGTGTTCATATACTCATATCTTGAAGTTGATATTTTGATACGAGTTAAAATCGTTACGACCTCTGATTAAAAGACCAACACCCTTCTGATCTATTTCTTTACCCCTTGCAATAACAATATATTTTTGGAATATTATTTCTTGCATAAAAAGCATGATGTATAATATAAGTTATAGCTGAGTAGATTTCCACCTGTGTGCCAACAATATTTAATCATTACACAAAAATTATACGAGAACTAACCATGCAATTTAGATGACTAATAACAACACGTGAACATAATTATGGGAAAATTACATGCGATGGAAATAGTAGGTTATATTGAAACGAAACAAAGAAAAAGTATATCTTGGAATAAAATATATACCGTTATGGCACTATTATATTCTTATCCAATAGTACCATTCTGTCTAGCAAGGTTTATTTCATATTGCTCCATTCTCTGTGAATTCATAACAGTATAAACTTTGCAGACTGCCCAAGAACATTGTAAACTTGATAAGACCCTCAGTGTTTATGTGTTTTCTTCTAGAAAATACTTTCTCAGTTATAAACTTGTTTCATTTTCTTTATTTTTGTTTTAAAACTAGTTGTCATAGATAGTTTTATGAGAAGATATAGGAGTGTTTGAGATAGGCCTATTAAAGAATTGTTTTCTTGTCTAAAATCTTGCTTGAAGTTTTTTTACGTGTGTGTTATTTTATATAACATTATCTTGTCATTTGGGATTTACTATTGAATTACTCAAGATAATATCTTTTTTAAACGCTATGTCCAATATATTCCCAACAAAGCATATGTTACTTTACAATCCTTTTACGATATTAAGACATTTTTATAAGTACTTTAGTAGCATGGATGGTTGAATTTATTTAAATTAAAATACAAACTTTCCAAATGCTGTTGAAATAAGTTAAAGTGAACATAATAAACAATTTTACTTAAAATAACCGTCATAGCTTGTCATATTTTCACATTTAAGGGGGTTCGCTTTCGTTTTATGTTTATAGGTGTGACAATCCCTTATCATCTTCCTGCACACAACATTCCAATGCAAAACAAGCAAGTGGTAGAATCAAATGATGAAATCCATTTGATTTCCGTAGCTAAAAAAATAAACAAAACTCTCATTTTAAGCTAGTTTGTTAGTAACTTCCAATTCCATTTTCTTACTAAGACTATTTAGTTAAGTAATGATAAGGCATGAGTTAAGTTAGACGTGTGTAATTCTGTAATTTAAGTGGACCTTTTCATAAATTACTAGCTGATGTACCCGTGCTTTGCAACGGGAAGAGGACACAAAATAGAAACATTTTAATCTTTACATATGTTGCATATAATAGTTACACATCCACCACACTTTTAGAAACAAAATTCAACTTTTGTAGCCTTAATAGAAACGTTTAAGTTATGACTTTTAAATCTGGTAAGTAGTGGATACCACCATTATGGTTTTGATTAATTTTAAATCTCGTGTAGGCTGATATGAGAAAAAATGACCAAATCTTCGAATAAAACTTTGACATACATTACCTTCATCTCCCTTAGTTACATATCTTTTAATTTATTATTGACATTTTAAATATCAATGTTGAAGTTGCAAAAATACTAATCACTATAATTTAAATGTACATTTGTTTTTATTTCACTCTTCTTTATATTAAATCACAAATACTTCTACCTTCAGTTTCTTCACTCACAATAAATCATTAGCAAAACAATGGCAAAACTAAGTCAGCTGTTATAAACTTTAGAAATATTGCTGTGCCTTGTCAATACAGTCTTTTGAAATATTAAAGAAACTATATCTATAGGTACTATACAAAATTTTAAACAAATAGTTTAGCATTAAAGACAGCAGACAAAACTAATATGATTATCAAAGCATCAAGGAAGGAAATGAAGAAGGGTCAAATAATTTAAAGAAAATTTTTCCTTAAGGAGAGTCAAAGTTGAAATTTTTTAATTTTTTTCAATTTTTACTTTTTATGTCCTTTTTATAGCACAGAATGTTTTCTTAAAAAAGGTATACTTACATTTTTAATTACTAACCTAGAAATGTATAAAAAAATATATTTTCCATAACTTTGCAGTGACGTTTTAAAGGTAAAACTTGTAGATCCTTGGTTGACCCTTGGAGGCTTTTCTTGCCGATTTCCGCAACTTTACTTTTTAGAAATTTAATGTCATTTTTTCAGGACTGGTAATGCATACAGCTGTGAAATCTTTACCATGTAGTCTTAGTGACTTATTATAAACACAGACATAAGGATTTCATCATATCTTTAGTAGAAGCATGTAAAAAAAATAATAAATTTTAGTTTTGAAACAAATATTTTTAAAATCTATAAAAACCCATAAAATAGTTATTTTTAATTTTAAATTAAAAATCTTGTGTCTGTCACTAGTTAATTAGTTAATATAAAAGTATACCAAGTTTCACTATCCTACCTGTTCTAACTCCTGAGAAAAATGACATTTAGTTAACATTACTAAAGATAGGAAAAACTTAAACCCTTAAGCGAAAACTTTAATTTAATTTAAAAGATAATATTAATATGACTTTTTGCCACTAAAGCTACATAATTTTGTAAGAATTATATTTATATATAATATATATGTAATAACGTTCATATACATATCTAACGCACGGATTTTTTTTTTCATTTCAGAGCTTATAGTAGATCATAACCAACATCATGTAGTCCAGAAATTAATGTTAATTAATAATTTACCATCATTTCCATGAGTAACGAGTAAATGCATGTGTTAAAGAAATAAATGGATTGAATGACATGAAAAATTTAAAAAGACTGTAAAATGACAACGTGATCATTAATGTATCTAACATCTTATTAAAAAGTAGGATATCCATTGGATGTCCTCACGATATCCACGAAATCCTGTAGGAAATCGTGGATAGCCCTGAGATATCCCATAATCTCCCGGGTTATTGCGGGATATCTCTAGGATATCCTACTAATCCCGGGATTTGGATAGGATATGTGGGACTTTAATAGGATATCCTGGGGACGTCGTGAGCTGTGTGGGGACTAAAAACTGTAATAGCAAATACAGTATATGTCTCATTGCATCTCTGATTCTACTCTACAAAAATATCAACAAACAAATTAATATACAAACCAGTTCTTTTCATCAGTTCCATCGTCCATTGCCTTTACATTTTTACACTTACCATCGAGTAAACATAGTAACAGATATATCATTGATTTTAGAAATAAAAGAACACTGTGTACTTCTTAGTTTTATGATGTTTTCCTTGGTTTAATTTAATCAGTGTTGTGACAAAACACAAATAATAAATGTATCAAATAAAGTAAATGTGAACTGAAAGCTATGTTAAGATAAAATAAGAGTATTTTGTATTACCATTTGATAATTAAATATGGTTACACATATACAACTGATTTTAGAAAACAAAAATCGACGACGTACAATTTAGTTATTGGTGATATTCTTTAGTTTAAATAAGGCATAGGTTTAGCAAAACATAATAACTTAATTTACCTAAATATA